ATCCCAGCATGCCCTGTCTAGACCATGACCTCAGGCCCGGGCTGAGGCTGGGGCTGAGAGAGACCTGGAGGTGCAGGGGCCAGAGCCAAGAGGTGAGTGAGGAAGCCGCTGCTTCAGGAGGGACACCCCTGAGTGCGGTGCTGAGGCTGGGAGAGGGCAGGGAGAGGAGAGGACCAAGAAGCATGCCGAGGCACCCCTGCAGAGGAGCACAGGCTCTGTCTACAGTTGGGACTGAGGGGGAGACCTGCCCTCTCCAGCCCCACAAGGCTGCCAGTGGGGGTTGAAGGAGACTGCAGAGGGCAGGTGGCCAGCCTCTCAGCCACTCCTGAGCTCCCTACCTTGCTGGCAACTCATTGACTGTGCTCTGTCCACCACAGACCCCCCATGTCTAGCCAGTACCCCAGCTTTCAGCAGTGCCAGGGTCACCCCACTCTATTGTCATTCCCCAACCCAGGAGAAGTTTGGGGCTCTGCTGGATGGCCCAGCCGCTCTCCAGCCTGGGCATGTCCCACTGTCTGATGTGGTATTGATCATATTCTGTTGTCCTCGTCCCGGCCTGTCCCCAGGGATGACGCCCCTGCCAGCGTTAGAAGGTGACACCGGCAAGTAGGATAGGACAGGCAGCCACAATGCATGCCTGGCCTGAGGACAGGGAATGCTGGCTGTCAGAGCCCCACCGGGGGCATGAGCCTAGAGTTGGCACCACTGGCTACAGCATGCTACATGGCCTGTGCATGTTTTGGGCAGGGCTCACCTCCCCGTGGGTCCTTTCTCTTTGCCCTACTCTGGACAACCTTATGTGGGCCTAAGGCCTGACATGCGCACAAAGGACAAGTGCTTTCAGAATCATCTCTCCTATGGCCTGTTGGTGGATGAGGCTAAAGTCAAATCCAAGGCTAGGACAGTCGTGTAATTCCCACTCCCCCAGGGCGGGGCCTGAAGCAGGTGCGGGCCACAGAGCCTGTCAGAGCAGAGGAGCTCCACTGCCAGCAGAAACTATGATCACTGTCCTTAGTCTACCTATGGTCACTTCTCTACCCTGGGAAGACCCCAACCTCAGTCCCCTGAGAGAAGTGGCGTCCAGTGAGAGCCTGCGCCGGCCCTCCTTGCACTCCTCCTCAAGTCCACCTGCCTCCTCATGCTCCCACAGCCTCCTTCCACGTGGTTTAATTTCAGGCCTCCACCCCAATCCTCCCACCCGCTCTGACAGTGTCCAGAGCCACCCGCCACCCAGCCTGGCTCCCATTGCCCAGCTGGGAAGAAACTACCCTGGCCTCTGGGGTCCTCCTGCGGCCCGATGCATCCTCCCCTGGACTCTGGGCACTGGGCCTCACCACTGCACCTCCATCACACACGGGGAAATAATCATATGGGGAACTCACCCCTGCAGACTGTTAGCTCTCCAGGCTCGGCTGAGGGGCTGAGGCCTCCATAAACCCTTCTGGGAGTTTCAGCAGCCTGCCACTGCATACTCTGCTAGCAGGCCGAGAGGGGCCACCCTGTTTTTCCCATGAAGAAACTCATAGTGGACAGGGAGCTGAGAGTGCTGGGGATGGGGGCCCAGGTGGGACATCCTGAGGAATGGCTCCTCCCCATTTATCCCCACAGACCTGTGCTGGTCTTCAGGGCAGTGGCCAGCAAGAGGGTCTGGGAGCCCCACTATAGGTCAGCCCGGGTGAGCCCGGGTGGGAGGGGTGCAGGAGGAGCACCTGCTCTGTACTCTACAGCTGGAAACAGCTCAGAGAGGGTGGGCCACCTGTCTGACATCACACTGCCCAGGGCAGTGGGCCCAGGTGACCCTTCCACAGGTGGCCTCGCCTTGCCAGGTGACTCCTGTGAATTTCTCAGTCAACTGGGCTCAGCCCTGGCTTAGACCCCTTCAAGGACTCTCAGAGGTGCTAGGACCAGGACCTCAATGACCCTCCACAGCCTGTCCATGCTCCTGCCAAGCCACATCCCCTCAAACGATCACATGTAATAGCCATCCTCATCCCCCTTCACCTGGGTAGTTCCTTAGACCTCCGCCTTCCCCAGTTTCCCAAAGTCCAATCCCCAGTTCGCTGTCCTTATAGCACCATGGTCCTGAGGCATGGCACAGCCACCATCGCGCACACATACTTGGTGTGATTGAGCCTCCCTGGCCTCTGGGCTGCAGGGAGGCATAGGTGGTTTAGCTCATCAGTGTAACTCAGCACCCAGGGGAGACCCTCAGTGCTTGGGGGATGGATGGGTAAACAGGTATCTACTTTATTTTTTTTTTTTTTTGAGACGGAGTTTCGCTCTTGTTACCCAGGCTGGAGTGCAATGGCGCGATCTCGGCTCACCGCAACCTCCGCCTCCTGGGTTCAGGCAATTCTCCTGCCTCAGCCTCCTGAGTAGCTGGGATTACAGGCACCCGCCATGACGCCCAGCTAGTTTTTTGTATTTTTTAGTAGAGACGGGGTTTCACCATGTTGACCAGGATGGTCTCGATCTCTCGACCTCGTGATCCACCCGCCTCGGCCTCCCAAAGTGCTGGGATTACAGGCTTGAGCCACCGCGCCCGGCCGGGTATCTACTTTATAAAGGAAAGCAAGGTTCAGAGGGAAGCAGATTTCTCAGTGTGCAGGTACCTAGCTCACAGGACTGCAACCCTGGGAGCAATGCTGGAGGTCCCCAGGTCCAATCCAACCCCCTCCCTCAAACACACCAGGAGTCTCTGCCCTGCATGTGCTTCCTGGATGAAGTGGCCCCTCCATGCCCTGGCAACTCTGCCTCTGCAATGTTGACACCTGCCTCTTCTGGCATGTCCCCCAAGCACCAGAGAGGCCCCCAGGGAGTAAAGAAGTAGAATGCACACACACAGAAAAAAGGGAGAAGGCATTGGTAGCCTCTGGCAAGAAGGCAGACATGCAGAGAGAAGCCTCAGACAGAGCATTTGGGAGAGCAAGGGAAAGGGTCAGGGGTGGGAGGTAAACGGGAGTTCTCATGCTCCTGGGTCCTGGTCTGCAAATTTTCACAGCCAGCCGCTTCTAGGACAAAAAGGAGTGAAGTGCTGGGTCATTTCAGCCATAGAGACCCCCAGAAGAAAGGAAAACATCCAACTAAAGCTATTAACCACTGATGCTAGAAAGAGCTTCAGGTGGGACTCTGGGAGGCTGTCCTGCTGGAAGGCAGTCACTGTGGGCACATTGACCCACCCTGCTCATCTGAGCCTCTTAGCTTGGCATCCTGACTTTGGCTACCCTGCCTCTGCAATCCTCCCTAGTGACCCACAAACACAGGGTGCTCCCTGTGTACTCCAGATGGAGTGGGTCCACCCAACCATACCAGGGCCAAGATGTCACATCTGCCTGGCATGTCCTGCCCCTCTTGTCAACCCTGTGGAGCCTGCTGATCCCCAGCACCCCAGCTCCAATATCACTTCCTCTTTCAAACCTTCCAGGACTAAACCCCACCTGGAAACAGGCCTTCCTCCCTCTCCCCTGAACACTGAGCACACAGCTTGTCTGTCCCGGCCGCTCCCTGTGGACCCAGGATGCCTGTGATGGACAACAAATAAACATCAGTCCAAAGCGCCTATGGAGGCATGTACAGGATGCCACATTTCCCAGAGCACAAATCCACGTGAGCCCCGAGAAACGACTGCCACACCGTTTCCAGGTACAAAAGGCAGCCCAAGATGCACATGATGTGCAGTGTTAGGGTCCCAACAGGCAACGGTTGCCCACTCCAGACAAAGGCCCAAAGTGACGTGATTCAGAACCCCCTTCTCACCCAGGTGCCTGCTCTTTGCAGGACATGGCCTGGGCGCTCCCAGCCCCAGGATTCCCCAGTACCAAGGCCCATCCACCAACAGACTAGCAAACAAGACTGAGGCCTGACTTCCTGTCCCCTGCTGACCTCGAGGCCCATCCTGGCCCGGCCTCCTCTCACTTGCTCAAAGGCACTGGCCCCCACTCTCACCCCAAAGCCAGTTCTACTCTCTCTCTCTGCCAGTGACCATCTTAAAACACACTGGGAAGGCCCCTTCCTGTCCTGCATCCTGCAGCAGCTGCCTGCTGCTCAGAGAAAAAGCCCCGACTCTTTCACTTCCCTCCTGACTTCTACTTCGCAGTCACTTTCAGAAAAAGCCCTCTCTTCTCCCAGGCTCTCTGCTGCCTGGGTGCCTTCCTGCCGCCTCTAACCAAGGAAGGCGCTGCCCCACCCCTCAGACATGCAGCTGCCTGCCAACTGGCATGCACCGAAGCCCCGACCCACCCACACACAGGCCCCCGCTTGCTGGACCAGCAGCGACTCACCTACCCAGCTCTCTACCCTGAGGGGCCTGGCGCCTCCGCTCCTAAACACAGAGCTGCTTTCATCCACCAAGCTTGGCACCACCACCAGCCTGACTAGTCCAAGGCAGTCCCTCCCAGGTACCACTGGTCCCAATGTTCCCAGAACCAAGCCGGGTCTTATTGAGGCCCAACAAGAAGTAGACAAACTAGGAAAGAAGGGAATTTATTACCGTAACCGGATACAGGAAGACCAGAGATAATTCCACAGACCAACTTAAAGTACTACAATTTTCTTGGTGTTTATATAGGTTGGGGTTATGGGCATATATGCAGTACAACAATCACCTAAGTCTACCGGTAACTAATTTTGTTTCAAGAAGAAGGTCAGAGACAAAAAAAATGCTTGCAAAGTCCAATTGAAAGGGACCCAGTAGCTTTAAAGGCCTGCCTACTGTGCTACTGGAGTGATTATTTCGATCTTAACTCCTTTACAGCTTGGTCAGGAGAGCTGCCTTAGACTCTCCAATGAATCTATTCAAACAGCTGCCTCTCCTACCTTGACTTGTCTCAGACTGTGTTGACCCAAGACAGGTCCTGGCACTAGGAGATGTAAAACCGTTCCCATTATTTTGGCTTGCTCCAGCAAGGGAGAAGCCCACGCAAGGCTTCTACTGACCATGTTTCATTTCTAGCTTTGATGTCTGGGCACCGATTTCCCTAGATTTAACTATTTGCTCAGTGTTAAGGCATCACTGTGGAAATTTGTCTGCAACTGGGGTGCTATGCAGGCCTGTCTGTGTGACTGTCAGGGAGAACTGTCCTGCCACATGAAGGACACAGCCCCAGGGGGCTTTTCTTCATAGCCCGAAGAAGCTGCAGGAAACTCACCCTAGTGGGACAAAGACCGATGCAGGGTCAGTCCCACAGCCAGTGAGGGAAACAGGCTGGACGCGGGCCTCCTCCCCTTGGGCCTGACTTGTGACAGGGAAGCGAATGCAAGGAGTAGCAGCGGGGAGGGTCACCACAGTCCTGTCCTGCGGGTGGCCTGACTGAGGGTGGGGAGCGGGTACTCCTGCCAGACCAGCCTGGCTGCCACGGTTCCAGGGACCGTTCCCCCCAGCCCAGTCCCCGCACCCCACTCCTTAGCTTTATGACTTCATTTGCTGAAGTCACCCAGAGACAATGCTGAGTGTTCCACCCAATCCTCCCAAGCTGAGCCCAGCCCAGCCAGACACCTCTCAGTAGCGTAAATGAAGACAATGCCTGCTGGCCCACGTGGTGGGGGGATGTAGACGGCAGTGGCGCCAGCCACTCCTGGCACCATGGACGATGCCACAGTCCTAAAGAAGAAGGGTTACATCGTGGGCATCAATCTCGGCAAGGGTTCCTACGCAAAAGTCAAATCTGCCTACTCCGAGCGCCTCAAGTTCAATGTGGCTGTCAAGATCATCGACCGCAAGAAAACGCCCACCGACTTCGTGGAGAGGTTCCTTCCTCGGGAGATGGACATCCTGGCCACTGTCAACCACTGCTCCATCATCAAGACCTACGAGATCTTTGAGACCTCTGACGGGCGGATCTACATCATCATGGAGCTCGGCGTCCAGGGCGACCTCCTTGAGTTCATCAAGTGCCGGGGGGCCCTGCACGAGGACGTGGCGCGCAAGATGTTCCGACAGCTCTCCTCGGCCGTCAAGTACTGCCACGACCTGGATGTCGTCCACCGGGACCTCAAGTGCGAGAACCTTCTCCTCGACAAGGACTTCAACATCAAGCTGTCTGACTTTGGCTTCTCCAAGCGATGCCTGCGGGATGGCAATGGACGCATCATCCTCAGCAAGACCTTCTGTGGGTCGGCGGCGTACGCGGCCCCCGAGGTGCTGCAGGGCATCCCCTACCAGCCCAAGGTGTATGACATCTGGAGCCTGGGTGTGATCCTCTACATCATGGTCTGCGGCTCCATGCCCTACGACGACTCTGACATCAGGAAGATGCTGCGTATCCAGAAGGAGCACCGTGTGGACTTCCCGCGCTCCAAGAACCTGACCTGTGAGTGCAAGGACCTCATCTACCGCATGCTGCAGCCTGACGTCAGCCAGCGGCTCCACATTGACGAGATCCTCAGCCACTCGTGGCTGCAGCCCCCCAAGCCCAAAGCCATGTCTTCTGCCTCCTTCAAGAGGGAGGGGGAGGGCAAGTACCGCGCTGAGTGCAAACTGGACACCAAGCCAGGCTCGAGGCCTGACCACAAGCCCGACCACAAGCTTGGAGCCAAAAACCAGCACCGGCCGCTGGTGGTGCCCGAGAACGAGGACAGGATGGAGGACAGGCTGGCCGAGACCTCCAGGGCCAAAGACCATCACATCTTCGGAGCTGAGGTGGGGAAAGCAAGCACCTAGCATGGTGACAGCCCCATCATGTGTCGTGGGGGCGGGGGGTGGGGGGGCACGTGTCGCGGTTGGCCTTCACATAAACTAAGTAGGCAGGTAGGATCTGAAGAAGGCACAGGTGCAAGTAAAATTCGTCAATTAAACCACTATTTTGATTACATTCCATTAGCTTTCTTCCACTTAGTAGCAAAGACGTTCCTTACTGACCACCAAATAAACCACAGGGTGTGTACATGCAGAGTGCGCCCAGTGAGGAGTGTGTTTCTCTGGCACTTGGCCAGCTGCCCCAGCTGACGCACAGTGGTCTCCAGCCTAGGAGCACAGGACAGGTGCTCAGGCGCAGGCAGACTCACAGTGTGGCCTGGCCTACTGGGGACCAGAGGGCCTCTGCCAGGGTCCACCCACCAGGCCCACACTGTCTCCCTCTGACGTGGCCCCATCGCCATTGCCCCGGGGCTGGCCAGCTCCAGAGGTCTACAGCTCCCCCTGGCCTCCTGCAGTTCAGCCTGCTCTGACCTGCCCCCACTCCCTCAGCATCCTCCTCGTCCTCCATTTCCCAGTCATTTGAGATTTCTGTGCTGAGCCCTCAAGTTCTCTGCCCGGTCCTCCAGGGGCAGCCCCAGCTGAGACCTCACCTCCCCTGTGCCCTCCCCGACCAGTGGCCCTGTAAGCTGCTCAGCAGCCCTTGGTGAGGGTGCACTGGCTGGTCTTTCGTGCTTCCTGCTGGGTCACCCACTGCTCCCGAAGCATGCAGCCCATTTGCCGGCCAAGTGCTGGAGGTGGTCAGCACCTAGACAGCGACCCTCCCCACTCCCTTCCCACTTCCTAAGGACTCTCCTGAGGTAACACCCACCCTTTCCTATGGGATAAAGCACCAAAGGCCCTACCTTCCCCACCTATTAACAGTCCCAACCTCGTCTGTCCAGCACCCCCCCCCATCCACCTGCAGGTCCCGGGGCACATCCAGCTCTCAGTCACCCCAGGAACTTGCAGGAACTCACCGTCGAGGAGCACAGGTTAGCAGTGGCTCCAGGCAGGTGGCAGAGTCAGGTCTGCACCGGCCTCCAGAGAGCTTTGGCACTTAGGGAAGGAGTGAGGGGGCCAGAGAAGATCGCCTAGCACAGGCAGGGCACGCTCAAAGCAGGAAGACCCCCACCCTGAGGGCACAATCTGTGACCTCCACTCGAGTCCTCACCTTGTCACTCCCACCAATAGGAGCCAGACCTTGGTCTTGGGCCCAGCTGGGCCTCTCTACGTCCACAGGAAGCAGGCCCAGTCCCCGCTTCAGTGACCAACTTAAAACACAAGGCCACCAGGCTCCTAAGGGTCTGGTACCCACATCCTCGGCCCATGGCCAAGTGCGTCCACAGTGCACAGAGCACGTGCCAGGTCTGTGCGGAGGTTGGGGCCCATGTTACTATTACCTGGGTGTTCCTATTGGTGGAAGTGACAAGGTGAGGCCACGGCCAGCAGCATCAGACAGTCAGTGCCTGTAACAGAGGGCTGAGCAGAAGGGCAGGAAGACGGGACAGTCCCATCCCATCTGAGCTGGAAGCCAGGTGCTAGGAGAAGGTGATGGCTGAGGTCACCTGATATGCACTCCCAAACAGTCCTATAACCAGCGCATCTCCCAGCGGGCAAGCCCAGCTGGGAGGCTGCAGACCTGGGCCCAGAGCCGCAGGTGAACCTGAGCAGTATAACTTCCAAGGGCCTCCATCTCTCCTTCACATTATCCGCAGAGGAGCAGAAAGCACTGGAGGATGTGTGTGACCTCAGCTCAGAATGCAGGTTCCGGGTGTTGCCAAAAGCAATGCCAGAGTCACCCAGAGCTCTCACAGCCATCCCACCTGCAGCTTCCTTGCCTGGGGGGCCCCTCGCTTCAAGCCCTGCAGTCCTGAGACGTGATGCAGGTCCCAGGGCAACCCTGGGGCTTGTGTGGGGAGCAGGACGGAGAAGAGATCCTACCAGACTGTACCAGGCGTTCTTTAATGAGAGTTCAAGGGGCCGATTAAGTAGCAAACAGCTTGGCAAGGCCCTGGGGTGTGTGCCCTGTGCCAGCCTGGCCCCAGCATAGTCCCTTTCTCCAGTGGCTCCTGGCAGGGTCAACAGCTTCTAGCCCAGGTCTGGGTCCTGAGAAGACTGGAGTCCTCTGCTGGGCGGACAGCTGCCCTGCAGATTCCATGAAGTGTCCATGGGCCCAGCCCCAGGCCTGGCTCTAAAAGAAGTCTGAGGCTTTGCGCCGGGCAGGGAGCTGCAGCAGGTTGTCCGTGATGGAGGCCGGGTCCTGCGTGAGGGGGGTGCGTGTGGCAGAGCCAGGTGCTGGTGTGCTTGTGGGGGTCTGCAGTCCACTGGCCGGGGTCTTGAGGTGGGTGGAGCGTGCTGGGGATGGTGTGTAGCTGGCCCGTAGGGCCCGGTCTGTGTACTTGCTGGCTGTCCTGCTCACAAGGCGCTGTAGGGCTGGGGACATGGCTGGGCTCAGGCCTTTGGGGGTGAGGCTGGGGTGGAGGGATGGGCGAAGAGAGGCAGGGTTAGGTAGGTGGAGAGCTGCCGGCAGTAGGGCCTCCCTCAGCTCCCAGGAAGAGCCTGGGCAGAGACACAGCCACTCTGAGCTGAGGAGGATGGCACTGCCTGGCACGGTGCAAGTACCGGGGAGCCCCAAGGTCAAACAGCAGCGCTCAGGTCAAATCTGAGGTCAAACAGCATGCTGCCCTAGCTGTGGGGGCTGGGGTAGACCCCCAGACCTCTGAGAGTTGGAGTCCCCACCCCTCGCCAAGGGGAACGATGACACTGTCCACAGGGCTGATGAAAGCTCCCAGCAGGACCACACACCTAAAGGTGCCTCTTAGGGACGGGCCAAAGAGGATGTGGAGGAAAGAGAAGATGGAGGGGCCCTCGTCCTGTCCATGTGTGGCCAAGCTCTGGGTAAGAGGAGCTGCCACGGCACCCACCGCAGAACCCCGTGGACCTGCCCTGGACTCTGCCACATGGGCCACGCCTCCACACAGTCAGGGCCAGGGACGAACAGGAGCAGGCCAGGGCCACCCTCCCACTTCCCCACCAGCCAGGCGGCCCCTCACCTGGCCAGGTTCTCTGTCACTCTCCGCAAGGCTTCCTGCTTCTTGGCCCGGTTCTTGGCAGCGGCTTCATTGGCCATCTTCAGCCCCAGCCGTTCCCTGCGGCCTGGCTCCAGGATCTACAAGGGATCAGACATGTGGGGAGCTGTGCCAGGCCTGCCACATGGTAATCCCTCACACAGAGAGCCACTGTTGTGGGCGCCAGCTTCTCCCTGTGGCCTACACAATCCCCACAACCCACCATCAACTCCCTCGAAAGCCCCTCGAAAGCCCCCAACCCCACCTGCCCTCTCCAGGGGCCAGCACTCCTCACCTGTCTTCGTGTTCCTCCCAAAGCCATGACCTCTGACAACCTCTCAGGAAAAAGCGTGTCTGTTTTAATGTTTCCCTGATTCTCAGAATGAACACCTTTGTCTTCACTGGCCCTATTTCGGGTGCAGATTCCCTGTGTGTCTGTGGCCTAGTTTGCTCTCCAGGGACTGATTTTCCTTTTCTGCTGCTGTCACTCAGAAGACCCTCACCTGCATAAAGTCAACTGCACTACGCCGTGCGCATGTTTTCAGTTATTTGCATTAGTTTCATTTATAATATTTTCAGGCTGTATTTGTCATCTTTGTGATTTCTTCCTTTTCCTTTTATGTTTAGAAGGTTCTTCCTGGCCGGGTGCGGTGGCTCAAGCTTGTAATCCCAGCACTTTGGGAGGCCGAGGCGGGTGGATCACGAGGTTGAGAGATCGAGACCATCCTGGTCAACATGGTGAAACCCCGTCTCTACTAAAAATACAAAAAATTAGCTGGGCATGGTGGCGCGTGCCTGTAATCCCAGCTACTCAGGAGGCTGAGGCAGGAGAATTGCCTGAACCCAGGAGGCGGAGGTTGCGGTGAGCCGAGATCGCGCCATTGCACTCCAGCCTGGGTAACAAGAGCGAAACTCCATCTCAAAAAAAAAAAAAAAGAAGGTTCTTCCTAACTTAAGATTAGACTACAGGCTGGGAGTGGTGGCTCACACCTGTAACCCCAACACTCTGGGAGGCCAAGGTGGGAGGATCACTTGAACTCAGGAGTTGGAGACCAGCCTGGGCAACATAACAAGACCTCATTTCTATACAAAAATTTAAAAAAATTAGCTGGGTGTGGTGGTGTGTGCTGTTAGTCCCAGCTACTCAGGAGGCTGAGGCTGGAGGGTCACTTGAGCCCAGGAGCTCAATGTTACAGTGAGCTATAATTGCACCACAGCTCTCCAGCCTGGGCAACAGAGTGAAACCCTAACTGTTAAAAAAGAAAAAAAAAAAAAGAAAAAAAAAAAAAAAAAAAATAGGCCAGGTAAGGTGGCTTACACCTGTAATCCCAGCACTTTGGGAGGCCAAGGCGGGCAGATCATGAGGTCAGGAGTTCGAGACCAGCCTGACTAACACGGTAAAACCTTGCCTCTACTAAAAATACAAAAATGAGCCAGGTGCGGTGGCACATGCCTGCTGTCCCAGCTACTCAGGAGACTGAGGCAGGAGAATCACTTGAACCCAGGAGGTGGAGGTTGGAGTGAGCCAAGATTGTGCCCCTGCCCTCCAGCCTGGGTGACAGAGTGAGACTCCATCTCAAAAAAGTAATAAAAGAAATAATAATAGTTAATAAATAAAATTTTAAAAATCAAACTAAATATTTGCCATTATTTTTTCGGGCTGTTTTATGGTTATTGTTTTTACAGGTAACCTTTTCACTTTTCCAGAATATATGCTGCTACGCATCCGAAGGACTCAGCTTCCTTCATTTCTAAATACTCTGCTGCTCAGTGCAATTTGACTTGCCATCTTTATCAGCCTCTAAGTTCTGACTTGGATCATGGTTTGTTTCAGAATCATTTTTCTGTCAGCCTGGAGGCTCATGAAGCAGCAGCAGGCGGCCCCTCGGAAGCACCTTGGCCCTTGCCTTGAGCTCACATTTGACAGCACAGCATACTATTCGTTAGCCCTCCTGCACGTTTGCCTTGGTTATGCTCGCATCCCAGACAGAATTTAGAACCAAGGTAACCAAAACCTCTGCCCACGTTTTGTCTGCACGTGGGTTACTCTACTAAGTACTCTGGGGAA